TTTGAAAGAGGATGTGTCTTGTTCACCCTAGAGTTAAGTCTACAGTCATAACTTCTAGTCTCCATGTATCTGGGCCTCCTCAAATCTGCAATCATTTCCCCACCCCACTTTGTCTCTTGTTTTACTCAACAGTCTATAAAACTTGTTTATGTTTTGATTCTGTGATACCTCTCAGTCTGTTTCTCTCCTTTGACTCCCTCACGTGGTCCAGATGAGCCATGGGAAATCTTGGCCACTCAGCCGTTCTGCTTGGAGCAGTCAGAAGCATCAGGAACTCAGCCCATCACCCCTTACATTGAATCCCATGGAGCTTGCCCCTCCCCACCTAAGACAGCCTCAGACCTACAGCCTGGGAGCTCAGAAAAAACAGAGCCCTCAAGGAGTCAAGGCACAGAGAATCCAAACACAGAGATCCAGAGACAAACTATGGAAAATGACATGGAGAACCAGGTGATAGAAATAGAGATACCTAGAATAACACTGGAGAGGAAAAAGGAAAAAGGGACTGTTAAGAGAAAGACACTGGCAAATAAGGCAAAGAGATCCAAGAGAAAAAGAGTGAGTCCAGCGGTACAAGCAGAGAGAGCAGAAAGAGGACAGAGATGTGCAGCAAGTAGAGGTCTGCAGAATGTTATGACAGAAAAAGACATCAAAAGTTGTGGAGAAACAAAGGCACTCGAGAAGGAAATGGAGAGGCAAACCCCTGAGAAAGACATATTTGAGAGACAAGCACCAGAAAGAAAAATGAGGAGTCTGGCAGTAGAAGTAAAGGTACCCAGAGAAATGCTGGAAAGAGAGGCAGAGGGACAGATGTCAGAAGATCATGACCAGGAGGTCCAGAATCCAGCTCCAGTATCAAAATCTAAAGTTGAGGAAGGGGTCCTGCAGGAATTAGCCTCAAATCCCCAAATCCACAGTGATAACAGGTGTCAGAGAGGTGAGTGACAGAGGAAATTTTTATTTCAGTCCCTTAAAGTTCCCAAGAATCCAGCCAAACTTATTTTCTCTTCCCCAGGTCTCGATGATAGCAAAATTTTGCCTCTTGAAGAAGTGCCAATGGTAAGAGCTACTCATCTTTTCTCCCTACATCTGCTTTCTCATATGCCACTCATTTCTATAAAATAGAATAATGCTGCACCCTGAGTTCCTGATGCTGGTGCTCTGCATAGTCCTTTCCCTAATGCTAAGCTACTTTTCATTGTCATTTCTGACATTCACATTCTTCTACCTTCTTTGTTCTGCCCCATTATCTAATTTCCAGTTAGCTGTCTCATTTTCACAGTGTGATTATTTGTATCTCTCTGTTTATCTAAATCTGTCTCAGTGAATCAGGGGCTCTCTTCCTACTGTTTTCTTTGTTTGCCTTTCCTCATCTTCCGTAGTACATCTTTTTGTAGTGCCTTTTGCTGGACACTGTGGGGGTGGGACACAGGAAGGTCCAGCAGAAGGAATGAATAAATAAAGCATTGAAGTGCTTACTACATGCAAAGTACTGTGATAAGCTAGAGCTACAAATAAAAAAGTAAGAGAAGTCCTGCTCTCAAGGAACTTCCATTCTGATGGAGGAGATAGGATATATGGAAAGTTTCAGCTGCAAATCAGATGGAAAGGTCCCATGGTCCTTAGGGTGAAGAGACAGAAAGGCAAAAAAAAAAAAGCAAAGTTTTTTCTTTAATGTAATTTCTACTAATAAAATATTAATATCTGATGTCAAACCATTTGACACCAGACTAGGGAGCACTGAGGTTCCTAAGGCTCTTTGAGTTCATGGTTCTGGGCTGTCTCTATCAGAGTCAGGGTAGGTGACAGAGTAGTGGTAGTGGTTTGACTTGTCTAGCACATGCTGCCTCCTAACTCTCCCTCAAAGGGTGCCTTGTTGATTCAGCTAGGCTGGCTTGCTTGTACCGTGGGAGGTGGAAGTTTGTAGTTGGTGGCAATGTCTGGCCTTGTCTATTGAAGTTGACTTCCCAGACAGTGGCTATGAGGGCCAGACTAGAAGCTGGACCAGTGATTTGGGGGGTGCTGCCACACAGATGATCAGTAGTTGTTTCTGACAGTAGTGAGGAAGGTGGGGACCCCTTCTGTATAATAATTTTTTTGATAGTTCTTTGCTTTGAAGAATTGACAGTTTGATGGGGAAAGGAATGCAAAGGAGCAAATGCAAATTAATATAGTATAAACTTAAATGTATTAATCTTATGTTTCCCTTGATCACTATCCAATTTCTCTGCAGGATGACCAGGATTCTTCAAATGTACCTCTTACAGCATCTAAAGTTCCAGTCTCTAAAGCCCCAGCCCCTTCTTCAACTGCCAGAATCACCCGGAGCCAAAATAGGAGAACATCAAAATCACTCCATTCTTCTTCCTCTCCAGCTTCCCAGGAATCACCTATCTTGGGGACAGTACGAAGCAGGAGGCGGGGGATTCCCCCGGCCCCAAATATTGAGCCTCTACTTCCTCAGGATTCTAGAGACAAATCAGAATCTTCTTTTCAGAGCCAGACACAGAAGCCTTTTAGTCCCTCCTCTGGACCAGCTGCCCCTTTGGCCCCTGAGCTCCACCATTCCATCCCTAAAGAATTGCCTGTAATCTCTGAACCCCGCCTGCAGACTCGTCAAAGCCGGAAACGGGGGGCCACAAGAACTTGTAGGTCTACCACAGTTGTATCAGTCCTCCCTGAGCACCCCCCTTCCATTCCAACAGAGAGATGTAAAACTCCTGTGCCCCCATCCAGGGCTCTCCGAAGTCAGAGAGCGAGAGTAGGAGAAATTTCTGAGTCACTCACAGCCACCCCAGAGTCCTCCTATCCTCTGACATCTGAGGCACCTGCCCCTAGAGCTACCAGGAGCCAGAGGGTAGGGGCAGTAGGTATGCTTTTCTCCACCCCAGAGGCCAAGCCTAAGCTCCCAGGCCGAAAGCAGCCTCCAAGTACCAGGGAACCATCTCCATGCCCCAAGCAGCCCCGGAGAGGTAGGTCCCAGAGACAAGAATCCAGCAAGGAAAAAGATGAGAAGCCAGTGGAAGTTGAGGTAAGGAAGCAGGATAAGGATTAGCTCAGGAGGATAAGGCCACACTAAGAACTAATTGGTATCTTTCTTACCTCCAGACTGCCGCAAAGACCCCTGTGGGGATTGCAGAACTAGAAGTTCAGACAAAGGACGAAGTCAAGGGAACACCTAGCCGAAGCTTACGGCGAGCTAGACTCTGTCGAGAAACAAGAACTCCCAAGGTATGGAGAGGAATTGGAAGGAAAGGCCTAGGGTTTTGGAAAGTGGTAGTAAAGAATCCTTTAGAAAGATGGACGATATAGGACCTTAAGAGGAGTCAGTAGGGAGGTATAGGCTTGCTGGGTTTCATTGAAAGATGACTTTTCTTCCTACAGGTGCTCTTTACAGGTGTGGTGGATGCACGAGGAGAGCAGGCTGTGCTGGCACTGGGTGGAAGTCTGGCCAGTTCAGTGGCAGAAGCCTCACACTTGGTGACCGATCGAGTTAGACGTACAGTCAAATTCCTATGTGCCCTGGGCCGGGGGATACCCATTCTGTCTTTGGAATGGTTGCACCAGGTGAGAGAGTAGGAGGGATCCAGAGCAGTAGCAAATACAAATGGCCAAAGATAAAATTACTGACAGAAATTTATGTACAGAGAGATATAAGTTGAAAGAAAAAAATGGAAAGGAGGTATGGTTTGAGGAAGATGAGGGGTAAGGGCTAATAGATGGGCAGAAAAGTCCTGGAGAGGAGTTGAACTGACTCCCACTCCCTGCCTCCAGTCCAGAAAAGCTGGCCGATTCTTGCCACCTGATGAATTTCTGGTGAATGATCCTGAGCAGGAGAAGAACTTTGGTTTCAGCCTTCGAGAGGCACTGAGCCGTGCTCAGGAGCGGGGCCTGCTGGAGGTGAGTGGGGCCCTGGTCACATGCTTTCCCCATAGGTATGTCCATCTCCCACCCCCACCCCTCACACCTACTCTACAGCCTTCTCCTTAGGTTTTTCCTCAGTCTCTCTAGAGGTCTCATTATTTCCCTACCCAATAGTCAGCTGGCCTCTTTTTCCCTCAGGGCTATGAGATCTATGTGACTCCTGGAGTGCAGCCCCCAACCCCCCAAATGGGAGAGATCATCGCATGCTGTGGGGGTACTGCACTTTCTAGCATGCCTCGGGCCTATAAGGTATGGTTTGAAACTAGAGAGGTAGTGGCTTGCAATAGGAAAGCCAAGAGGATGTTGGTAAGGGGAAACAAATAGGAGAGCTGGAAGGGGTCAAAGGATGGGAGGATTGAGGAAGGGAAAGGATGGTGGGAGGATGTAGGGAGAAGTTTTATACTGGTCATAACATGAACTTCTATTCTGAATCAATTTCTTTCCCTCTTTGTTCTTCTCCTCTCCTCATCTCTGACCTTAGTCCCAGAGACTAGTGATTTCATGTCCTCAGGACCTCTCAAGATGCTCTGCTGCTGTTCGGGCTAAGCTGCCTCTCCTTTCACCAGAGTTCCTGCTCACTGGGGTGCTGAGGCAGGAAGCCCAGCTGGAAGCATTCCTCCTACCCACTTCAGACTCTTTACCTTCTTAATACCTTTAGTCCTCCTATCCCCACTCTGCTGCCCACACTGTTTAATACACAGAACATAAAATAAACTATTTAGAAGAAAAATGTGTTTCATGAAAGACTGGCATGATGTATAGAACTTTTGAGATGGGGGAGGTGACATAAGAGCTTCTGAGGGATCATATGGGATGTGGAAGGAACAAGAGAACCTTTTCAGAAGACCTGGTGAAATAAGAGCCAAACACAATGTGAGGGAATATGGGTACCTAACTAAAGCACTATTATGTTTTAGTTTAAAATGCAGCTTAAGTCTAAGCTCTGATCTCACATTAAAACTTACATATTTACTTCAGCTCACTTTGTTTATATCCATAGCACTGAAAAACTCGAATTAACATTACTGGCCTAGGGCTGGGGGCGTGGCCAGAGGCGGGGCTAGTGTAGCGGGAATTCCCGGGCTCCTCCCCTGTCCCTAGTCCTGCTCCCCCAGCCATGGCCCGTGCGCTGCTCTTGGTCCCTGCGGCCTTAGCTTCTTTCGTTCTGGCCTTTGGCACTGGAGTAGAATTTGTTTGCTTCACATCTTTGCAACCACTGCTTGGGGCCACTCAGAAGTTGAGACCAGGTAAGTGGTGCTGGAGCTGGAGCCGGAGCCCCGGAGGAGGGTGCGGCGGTTAGAGAAGGGGGTGAAGCTGACAGATGAGACCCAAGTAAGTGAGGGGAAAAGAAGGAAGTATAAAGGGAGGGAGGGGACTCAGACAGAAAGGAAAGGAAGGGAGGTAGAAAATTTGTAGAAAGATCTGAGTTTAATTCTGGGGAGTGTTTCTGGAGGCGGAAGATAAATATGTGGAAATTTATATGGAGAGCGATACTTTGGAGTGAGGACAAGTATTAAAAGGTAATGAGTCGAATACCGTAGGGAGCAGGGTGTGATAACACTTAATGGCTTTTAAGTTACAAACTAATTTGTTCTTGTGAGACAAAAGGCGCAGGTCAGATGGTTTGCCCCTGCATGGTCACAAAGCTAGGAAGCACCAGAGACATAATTTGAACTCAAGGCTCTCCTAGCTCCTAAGTTTGATTTTTTCCCCCCCAGATGGAACAAAAGTGAATGGATTTGGGTTGGGGATTTTCAAGCCTCTGGGCATTAACAACCTCTTGATCTAAAAGACTTCTCAAGAACCCCCAAATCCTCTTCTCCCCAAATTTCTTTCTGAAAGGTTCAGCCAGCATCACTTGAAGCTCCTTTTTCTATATATAGCCATAAAGGAATTGCTGGAGATGGGAAATAAAGCCACTTAATGGAGAATGGAGAGTAAAAGGGGCATGGTCTAGATAGGTTCTCTGAGTGGCATCAGGAATTAGGGAAGCTTGGTCAGCCTCCAGAGGGACGTGGCCTAAGATTCAAAGGAGATGTTTAGGATAACAGTGATCTTTCCCTGCCCTTTTGACATCCTATCTTCCCCCATCCTAAGATACTCGACAGGATTGGCTGACTGCCCTACAGGACCCTGGCATCTTGGCAGCTCTAGCACAGGATCTGGGGCTGGTGCTGTTATTCATGGGGCAGCACAGTCTTATGGCAGCAGAGGCTGTGAAGACATGGATGGCCCAGCACTTTGGGGTCCTGCAGAGGTCACTCTATGTGGCCTGCACTGCCCTGGCCCTGCAGGTATGGGGGCTAGGCAGCTAGGTCCCCAAGAGAAGTAGAGGCTGGGGAAAGGAAAGCCTGGGGATGAGGGTGCCAGATGGCCTGGGTTCCTGAGTAAACCAAGAATTAAGAGTGAGCTGGGAGCATTCAAAACCTTGCACATTCTAATCACTAAACTCTCTAACCTCAGCTCCCACAACCTCCCTACTGTAGACAGACTAGATCCATTGTTTCCCAAACATACCCCCTTCTTTTTTCACTCCCCATTTACCCGGGCTTGGAATGCCTACCTCCTTCTCTCTTTTCCAAAACCTACACATACTTCAAGGCCTGACCTTCATCCCCGAGCTCCTCCAAGAAGTCTTTACCAATGGCCATAGTTTTAATGTTGATCCCCTCCCTCTTTGGGGCTCCTTTGTCATATTATATGCCTGACAATTATATGTTGCTTTATTATTTATCTCTAGATACACATTTGTTCTCCTAACCAGATTGTAAGCTCCTCTAGGGAAGTGATCACATATCTTATAAATTCACCAAACATCATTTCCTGTGTGCTATCACTGTGCTAGTGATATTCCTAGACTACAGGACTGGCCTGCTCAATATATTTCAGTGGTTCCCTACTACTTCTAGGGTCAAATATAAACTTCCCTGTTTGGCATTTAGAGCCCCTCTCATTCTGCTTCCAATAACCTATGTTTCCAACCCTTATTTTACATTGCTGTCCTTATACACTCAAGTATGTCCAGCCTGGCCTTTTCTCTCTCTCTCTCTCACACACACACACACACACACACACACACCCATTCTACCTCCCATCTCTGGACTTTTGTGCAAACTTTCCACTCCCACCCATACTCACCCCCGTGCTTCCCTTATGCCTCCAAGAATCTCTTGTTTCCTTCAAAGCTCAACTCAAACACTATCTCCTACATGAGACCTTTCCTGGTCCCTTGTATTTATTTTATATGTGCTTATCACTCCTATAGAGTGGGGGTCTCATGAGGGCAGGGACTTTTCATTTTTGTGTATTTATCCCCAGTGCCTAGGACATTGCCTGGCACATAGTAGGCACTTAATAAATGCTGTTGATTGATTGCAAGGTCTGGGATCAAGAGAGGATTTTAGAGTATCAGTGATGTCTCCCTATCCTCTGCCCCCTCCTTCTAAGGCTTAAGAAAAATAAAGCATTATCTGCTACTTGTTTCTAATTCCATCATCTAACATGGTATCCTACATATAGTGGACATCAAAAAACATTTGTGTTTGTTAGTAGGGGTTTGGAAAACAGTCTTGGAGCACCCTGCATGAATTATTAGGAGTAAAAGCCATCAGGGAGCTAGAGACGTGTGTGTGTGTGCACGTGTGTGTGCGCGTGCGCACGCGCGCACGTGTTACAGCATTGTAGGGGGTGAGGAGGGAGCCTCCCTTCAACATACTAGATGAATAGGTCTCTAAGGGGAGTTGAGTCTAGCCATCCTCCCATCTGTTTCTTCCAGGTTGTGATGCGTTATTGGGAGCCAGTACCAGAGGGCCCAGTCCTCTGGGAAGCACAGTCAGAGCCCTGGGTAACTTGGGTACCCCTTCTCTGCTTTGTGATGCACATCATAGCTTGGCTCCTCATTTTTAGTATCCTCTTGGTTTTTGACTATCCTGAGCTCATGGGCCTCAAACAGGTAATATTTCCAGTCCCTGGGTTTCCAGCCTTTGGACTTCATTCCTTACCTCTTCCAAGACTTGAATCACCTTCAGTCTTCCCATGCCCTAACCAATCCTCACAGGGTTTTTGCTCCACCCTAACCAGTCTACAAGTTACCTTTCTTTTCCCTCTCCTAATGGGGCCATGATCCAAAACCCCTCCCCCCAAATCCAGAAATGATGGTGGTTCCCATGGATTAGTAGGAGAGTCAAGAGCCAAGAGTTAGGCTCAGAGGGGAGACCTTAGTCCCAAGGATTGGAGGAGGATTAGACATATCCTTGGAGATATGGAAGAGGTAACCTTGGAAGACAAGCAGAGCCAGCTTTTTATAAGGAATTGAGGGAGGGAATGGAATTAGAGGCAAAGGGATATGATGACTGAATTTCTGATCTAATGTCCTTCTATCCCTTTCCCATAGGTATATTACCATGTGCTGGGACTAGGGGAGCCATTGGCTCTGAAGTCCCCTCGGGCACTGAGACTCTTTGAGCACTTGAGACATCCCGTGTGTGTGGAGCTCCTGACCGTGCTGTGGGCTGTGCCCCGACTGGGCCTTGATAGAATCCTCTTGGCTGCACTGCTTACCCTCTACCTGGGCCTGGCACATGGGCTAGACCAGCAAGACTTGCGATACCTCCGTGCCCAGCTTCAAAGAAAGCTTCAGTTACTTGCTGGGCCCCAAGATGTAGATGCTGAGTGAAATCTAACCCCTAGGATGAAACTATGGTCCCTAGGCTCTGAAGCCCTGACTGCCCCCCCCATTCAAAGTTCTGTTCCCTGAAATCCAAGAGCTGTCTATCTTAGAGAATCTGTCTTCTGGACTTCTACTCCTGAACTTGAGGTTTCTTGAACTTGAGAGGCCACCCCTTGAAGTTTGAGGTTGCATGCTTCTGGGTCCTTAGATGCCTCCCCCCACCCGCCTAAACTCTGTCTCTCCTGAATTCCCAGCTCTACCTCCTAGACTCCAAGTTTCTCTCCTTGTGGACTTCAGGCATGGTTCTCTGGATATAGGATGCAGCTAGTTCCCTGACTTGGAACCCATACTCAGATCCCAGATTTAGTGTCCCTTAATCCAGAATCCGACACCTCAATTCAGTCTACAAAGACAGATGAGATATGGGGGGAGGAATGAGGATTTGGGGCCTGTCCCCAACAATAGGTCTCTTTCTGCCTATTTTCCTCTCCAAATCTTAGGGGAAGAGGTTGGCTCTGATCCCCAACCCCATTCTCAGGGACCTTTTCCTTTTCCTTTATATCTTTACCCACCCTGGAGTTATACTGGAACTGAAGTGTTTTCTAGCCTCTAGACTGAAGTACCTTTCCCTAGCTCCCAATCTCCCATCCTCCAGCCCTTCCCTCAGTGTGCTTAAGGTTCTTTTTAGAATTTCTCCCTCACTTAGGCTCTATGTCCTCAGAGCAGATATTGGGAGGAAGGGGCAGGAACCTCTTCACTCCCCATCTCAGTGACTTCATGTTTTCCAGAGAACTTGTAAGAAGCTGGCAAATAAATCCAAATACCATGTCTTTTTTTCATATGCCACTTTATGGCCACAAGTGTTTATCTCTGGTTGGGAGTTAGTTGGGTCCAGATCCTTTCTTGGGGGGAGATGGGGGACAGGGCAAGGCAGTGGGAGTTAAGTGACTTGCCCAGAGTCACACTGCTAGTAAGTGTTATGTGTCTGAGGTCGAATTTGAACTCAGGTCCTCCTGACTCCAGGGCCAGCACTCTATTCACTGCACCACCTAGCTGCCCCTGGATCTGGATCCTTAGAGAATGGAAGGGAGAACTGAAACAGGGAGGGAGGAAGAGTGGAGTGGTAGGCTGAAGACTGTCTCAGCAGCTACAAAGTAGAGGATGGGGATGAAGGGGTGGAAAGTAATTTATTAAAAAGCAAATGCTTGCAGTAACTAGAGCTACTGTTCCCTCCAGTGGCCACTATGCTTCAGCCATCCCTAAAGCCCAGCATTCTACCTTTTTGAGGATGCCCCAGTCTCCCATCTTCAGGAAGGAGACATAGTTACTTTTTCCACTAGCAGTCTGGCCTGCCAACACCTGGATGATCTCAGGGTCCGATGGGCTGCTGAGTTGAAAGGCGGAAGCCCAGTGTCTAACCAAATCAAAGCCAAGTATCCTCCAAGTCAAGTCTCCATCTATCTCGCCGACTTTGATCCCAGACCCGCCCCACCCCCCAATCACTTTCAATCGCCACTTCCAGCCCAACAGTAATGACCAGCGACCCTAAATAATAAAGCTCTGGGAGCTGAGAAGGGAGGAGGGGCAGGAGATGGGCTGGGCAGGGCAGGACGGCTCTCAGCAGCTGCAGCTTCCTCCCTGGGTCCCCCCAGGGGCCTGAGTCACGGGCCACCGCCCAGGACCAGGGCTTTGGGAGGGGGAAAGAGGAGGGCGGAAAGATTGGGGGTGGGGGGTGGAGAGTCACTGGAGAAGTTGGTTGGAAAGGACACCTGGGTCCCACAGGGCAGAGCGGCCGAAGGAGAGTGAGGCAGCTGGAGATCGAGGATCAGGATTCTTGGTTCCCAGAGAGGAATGAGAGCGGTGAGCTAGGGGGTCTGCGCGTCTGAGAGCGCTTCCCAGAGAACAGACAGCTAGGGGTCCTGAGGGCCGGAGGCCCCGCCCCTTGCAGCGAGTTCCGCCTCTCGCCCCCTTCTCTCTCCCCATTGTCCTCAGACAAAGCGGTCGCCGCCCCCAGCCCGGCCCCCCTCGGTTTGGGTCTGTCTCTCCTCCTCCGTCCTTCCCTCCTTCCTCCCTCCCTCCCATCTCCAACTCTCCCTCGCTCTCTCTCTTCCTCTTCCTTCTTTCCCTCTCCAGACGCTTTCTCGACTCGCACCCCCTCCCTTCCCAGAGAGACCCTGCCGTACGTGAGTTGGGAGGGAGGGGGGGTTCAGACTTATAGGAAAGGTGTCCCCTCCCTCGTCACTTCCAGCCGCCACCCTTTTTCCCTCCACTGTTTCTTCAGACTGGGCGGTTTTCTTTGTGTAGTGATTGGCCGTAGGAGTAGAGCGAGAATGACTAGGGACCGCAACATCTCGGTTCCAGGGTTAGAATGACTACGGGGTCTGGGGGTGAGGGGTGGGGAGAACGCCTAGGTTCCTAACTGAAGTGAAGAGGGCTGTGGACCGGAGCTGGACATCTGGGTCCCAGGACTGAGATGAGGGTTATAGGCTAGAGGGAGGATTGGACATCTGGGTTCTGAGAACGGGTTGGGTGCCTGGACTCCTGGTTTCCGAAAGTCCCCGGGTACTGTCTTTTCCCAGACCCGCCCCAAGAGGCGGGTGCGTGGGCCTGGTGGTGGGGGTGGCCCGGGACAAGAGAGGCGTGGCTGGTGAGAGGTTGGAGGGGAAGCAAGAGTCCGCTAGGGGCCACGCTGTGACTGGCAGGTCTGCTGCACAGTTCCCACCTCCCCTCTGTCCTTATCCCCTTCTTACCCTTTCCCCTATCCCTTTAATATACCCTTACCACTCCCTTTTTCCGTGTTCACCCCCCCCAACACCATGGCTTTGCTTTTTCACCCCACACGCCAGGAATTCCCCTAGCCTCCATGTCTTCCCCTTTAGCCACCCCACTTGGTTTCTTCCTCTGCTTCTTCTCCAAACTGTCTTCTTTTTTCTCTTCTCTCATCTAAAATATTGTCATCCTCCACCAGACCCCAATATTCTATCTTGATTTTTTTCTCCCTTTCTCCCAGCATTCTTCCCTTCCACTATATCTCTTTCTCTTCCCTCCCCCTACATTTCTTATGTTCAATTCCTCAGTATTTCCTCTAATTTCTCCCTGTCTTTTCATTCTTTCTAGCAGTTCTCTCCCCTTTCCTAGTCTTCCCATCTTTCCCTCCTCCCAGGGGGTTATCTCTTCCTTTATTCTTCCTTGTATTCCCACATAAACTCTATACCTCATTTCCTCTCCCTCTCTGCCCCACCAGTATTCTCATTCTCTAATTCTCCCACTTCTTTCTTCTCCTTGACAACACTCCCTCACTGCTCCATCTCCTCTCCTCCAGTTCTCTTGCCCCACTGGGACCATGGCTACTGTCCCAGACTGGAAGCTACAACTACTAGCCAGGCGAAGACAAGAGGAGGCTGCTGTTCGAGGCCGGGAGCAGGCTGAGAAGGATCGACTGGCCCAGATGCCAGCCTGGAAACGGGGGCTGTTGGAGAGACGCCGTGCCAAGCTAGGAGTGCCAGTGGGGGAACCAGGTCCTGGGAATGAGGCTACAGATGCAGCACCTCCTGAGCCTGATGAGCCTGTTGTCCTTCTGGAGGCCATCGGACCTGTCCACCAGAATCGCTTCATCCGCCAGGAGCGCCAAGAACTGAAGCAGCAACAGCAGCAGCAGCAGCAGGGTGCCGAAGAGCAGCTCATTGATCGCAGGCCACCTGAGGGTCGAGGACATATTTCAGGGAGAGTGGAAGCCCAAGAGCAGAGACCCGGCACAGCAGAGGCTCAGGAACAGAGTCTGGTGGGAAGAGAGTCAAGAGAGCAGAGGCTGAGCCAGGGGGAGTCTGTAGATAGGAAGCTGGGGGTAGCAGAAGTTCGAGAGCAGAGCCTTAGGCCTGCAGAAGCTTTGGAATGGAGATTAAGCCCTAGGGAGACTGAGGAGAGAAGCTCAGGGCTATCAGAGTCAAGGAAATGGAAGAAAAGCCCCAGGGAAGCTCGAGAACGAAATGCAAATTCAGTAGAACCTCAAGAACAGACTTCTGGGGGATCTGAAATGGGAGAATGTAGACTGAGCTCAGGAGACCATGGAGAGCATGGAGAACAGAGACTAGGGGTGACAGAGATACATAAATGGAGGATGAATTCCAGAGAAGTCTACGAACAGAGCCCAGAGCTACTGGGGGCTCTGGAATGGAGGTTAAACCCAGGAGAAGAAAGCAAAGGGAGATCAGGGGAATTGGGGCCTGAACAGAGACTAATGCAGAGGAAATCCAAGGAGAACTCAGGACTTTTGGAGACACAAAGATGTAGGTTAAGTCCTGGTGAGTTTCGAGAACGAAGCCCAGGGGTAACAGAGGCAGCAGAAATGAGGTTGAATCCAGGAGATGATGTAGAGAAGAGTTCTAGACCGATGGAACTATGGAAATGGAGACTGAACTCTGGGAAGGCTCGAGAATGGAGCCCTGGAAGGTCAGAGGCTCAAGAGCAGAAGACAGACTCTGGAGATCAGAAGTTGCCGTTGCCTGGGCTAAGGGCTGAAGAAGGGAGGACAGGGGCTGCTGTAGAGGAAGCTGGGGATGGAGGCAGGATGGTTAGCTCCCTTAGAAGCCACTACTCTGTAACCTCCCCCCCACCACCTGAGGAAGTTGGGACCAGAGGCTCAGGGCCTCAGGAAGAGGAAGCAGCAGAACCTCAGCCCCCACCACCACCCTCGGTGTCTCCCCTACCCCCTGCCCCACCAACTCCTCAGGCCCCAGGGGACCCACTGATGAGTCGCCTGTTCTATGGGGTGAAACCTGGGCCTGGGGTAGGGGCCCCGCGCCGCAGTGGACACACCTTCACAGTTAACCCCAGGCGGTCTGGGCCCCCTGCAGCCCCTGCAGCCCCTGCCCCACCTGAACCCCAGGTCCCTGGCCCTGGAAAGAAGCGGTACCCCACTGCTGAGGAGATACTGGTGCTTGGGGGCTACCTCCGTCTCAGCCGAAGCTGCCTCGCCAAGGGGTCCCCTGAGAGACACCATAAACAGGTAGGGAAGTCTAGCCTGGCCCCTTTGAGCTCCTGTTCATCAACTGTCTCTGGGCCTCTTACTTTGTGTCTTTTTCTCTATGTCCTCTCTCCTTACATTTCACTGTCTCGCCCAATTTCCTCTTTTATCCCCCTTTTCCAGTCATCTTTCCCTAGGGAAAATACTCTCATGGTCTCTCTCTATTAGTCTGTCTCTGTCTCTGGGTGTGTCTCTTTTTTTTCTCTCACTTCCCTTAGGCACTGAATTCTTCCTGGCCTCTTTTCCTCTGTTTAGTAGAGTATGTATGGGCATCTGCTCATTTCTCCCCACTCAAGGGGAAGAGAGGAGCTGCTGACCCCACCAGACAGGAAAAGATGAGCTAAATTAAACCTTTAATCCAGATGGGGAACAGTAAGAGAAAATTACATTTTAGTAAAAGAATGTTATAGGAAGAAGTTTGGGGGATAATTTTCCCAGGAATGGCAAATTAGTGCCCTAGAAGAGAAGGGAGACTGATGGAGGTTTTGTTTGAGGTTTTCTTACTCCTGGAGGGAAGAGTAGAAGAGGAAAATGAATTGTTTGGGTTGGGGATAGAGGCCAGTGTTGTAGAGAAGAGCAGAAAGAGAACAGTGAAAGCAGAGGAAACAGAATGTGTCAGAGAAGTCCCTTGAACCCTAAATCTGCCCCGGGGTGAGACAGAGACACAGAGGCTGCTTGAAACTGATGACCCTGGGGTTGTACATGCCAGCTGTGCCCCAGCCACAGACAGTAGTTCTCTTTTCTCTTGAGCACAAGAAGAGCCTTCTCCAAAATACTCCTCTTACTCTCCCCTCCCTCCTTCCCTGGGGTTTCCCTTTCTCCC